TTACCATTCTATCATTGCCAACAAAAAACTGTGCCGGAAAGAGTTAAAATAAAATGATGGTACAAACGAAAAATGTCATACGGCCATAGTCAGCACGCACTAAAGTAAACAAACTGGATATTAATATTAAATTAACCAAAAACCAAGTCAATATATATACGTCGTGCTTAATAAATTTACTCTTATCGAACTGTACGATGATGATATGCCATATTTTCTTTTGTTATTTACAAACATATGTTTGTAAGCTAATTATCTTACTTGCAAGTTTTCGCTAGTAAAAAGAAATTTGCAACTCTCTATCGTGTTTTGCTCTCTCAATTTCCCCTACTTTGCAAGTTTTTTGGATACGAGAACGCAAAACCAGTGAAAGTTCTCTAAAACTTTTAATAGTTTTGGGTACGAGTACACTCCTAACAACTCTATAAATGCCCATAAATGTTTTTGTCACAGTGGTTCTATTGGGAAATGTTATGAAGGATGCACTCTTTGACATTGTTTTTGCGGGAAAAGGAGTTTCGGATCTAGTTATATGCAAAAACCTGCAAAGTAGGGGAATTAGGAGATCGTTTGTCTTTGATGATTTGGAAGTTAGAAATTTTAAAATAAAATAAGACAAATATCCGAAACTCCATTTTACTAAGAGAAATTGCAACCAGCATTTACGCACATACGTGACGCTTAAGTATGTTAGCAAGAAAGGGATAAAATATCACACGTATACTATAGTTTCGTGTAGTTTTGTAAACTCGGCCTTAATAAAGTCATAAAAACTGTCAATGAAATCTATAGCATAGCATTCGGTTAAATATATTTACACGATAATGTTCTCGCTGGGAAGCTTCTCCATGCCAAAAAGAATCAGTGTTGTCACTTGAGTTTATTTTTAGGTACCAAAACGCCTACCGAACCAGTTTCCAAACTACCAAATTTTTGTTCATCATTAAAACGATATTTTTTTGCATTTACAGGGTTTTTAACTACACAATTTGACAGTATAATATTGTTTATGGTGTTTATTAAACACTCATACCAATATTTAAGGTTAAAAAAACAAATTCGGGCTTTTAAATAAAAGAATTAACGTATTGCGTAAAAACTTTTTAAAAAATTTAAATACCTTTGAGAACAATTCAATTCATATCAAAAAGTTTTTATGTTTGAAAAAACAAAATCTGACATTCAATAAAAAAATTCCAAATTTTGTTTCGATTTGCATACACTCACACTTTGCACATTGCCTATCACCATTTTTTCTTTCAAGACGATAGGCAAATTTTCGTTCAATTTCAACAGCTGATCGATCATATTTTGGGAAGTCAGTTTTTGTTTGCAGAAAATTGAGTGCTTAGTAAAATTTAGAAAAAACAAAGAAAAGTTATACGTGTGAGCAAATTGAAAGCAATGTTTTCAGCTTGTAGACGCAAAGTAAAAGTATAAATTTTAATGCTCAATTTGATTGACTTTTCAAAGCATTTTTGCCTACCAAAAGCTTCATCAAACCAACCAAACTACCAAAGGAGAATGAAGCTACCAATTTTGGTCCAATTGGACCAAAACGGCAACGCTGAAAAGAATATGAATTTAATTTTATAACGCATCTGGCAGCGCTTGATTTCAATTTGGGTTTTCAGCACGGTTTTTCTATTCGACGAGTTGCTACTGAAATTGGGAGAAATTTATTAAAAAGCTAAGTACGTAAATCTATAAGAAAAGACAACACGTTATAATTAAAAATAATCGATAAAACTGGATTGGAAACAAAAAAGGTACTAATTTATGTAGGATTCCACACTAAACCCTTTTCATTAAGTACTTTCTAGTACAGTGTTTTGCAACCCTGTAGCAAAGAAAAGCAAATGCAGAAAGTAAATTCTAAAACACAGTCAGTGAAATTGGTTGCAAAAAGGTTTGTGTTTGACAAATTATTTACGTTCGTTGCGGTTTTAGCTATTTTTCAATTAAACTCTATTTAAATTGTTTCCCAACATTTTTAGACAAGTTAGTCAGATTAGGAAATATAAAAGGTGTTTATGTAGACTAACTAGTCGCTGCCAATATGCCTGGGGCTATGTTCCTATAAATTGAGGCCGAAGAATCGATTTTGTGCATAAGCAAAGGAGAGCAGAGGTCTATCTGGGACAGAAAAGTGCTATTAGCGCTACGGAAGCAAACTTTGTGTGCAGTTTGTAACACCACCGTGGCTGAGGTATGGAGAAGAGCGATCATATTTCAGTAACAT